TTTATTATGCCTATAAAATCGCCATTTTGAACCTTAAAACTGTAGCAATAAGGGTGAAATAAATTTCTCTTCCAAATCTGTCTATGAAATTTTTCTGACGGTAATCGGCACCCTAATAACAATTATTTTTCTCGTTGAAGTGATTGTAAGATTATGAAAATTGTAATTGAAATTAAAGTTTGATTTAATTTCTAACTTAGTAAGTATGATTTGTTTTCAAGTTAACAATACTTAGCACTTCAATAATTGTGCCCACGCTATATTTTTTTAACTAGCTGTTACTTGCGACTTCGTATGCGTGAAATTATAAAAATAACAAATAACATATAGCCTATGTTACTCGTAGATAACAATCAAAGAATTTTTGAAATAAGCCAAGTTATTGTTACGTAAATCAAATATATACAAAATTACAAATCATTTCTCTTTATAATATTAATAGCTTTCTCCCGCGACTCCACCCGCGTGGAATAAATAAAATAAAAGTGAGTAGCCTATGTGTTCTTCCAGACTATCCTCTACATCTGTACCAAACATCGAAATACCATCCATCTAAACTTTTGCATTTATAATATTAGTATGAAGTACAGATATAGACTGGACTTTCAAAGTTCTAAATAATTTATATTTAAAAGCAAGTTCTTAATATTAAGAAAAGCTCTTGAGGGTGATGTACATGATGACATTTGTGATTTTCATAAATGACAAAATATTCCGTTGAAAAATCATGACAGTTGGGGACAAATAAAAAGGGACGTACATTGCAGGGACAGCTCTGCGCCGCGCGGAGTAATTTGCTCGCTAGTTATCCCGACTCATGTTTTTTGTTTGTCCTGACATCCACTATCATTTTGTATACTATTTTTATTTTAAATTATACCACTTCTTCCCGAATACTGGCTGGTTATATTTTCTGTGGATATATACTAGCTTTCGCAAGCAACTTCGTCCGTGTGGAATTAAAAAAAAAGAAAAGTAAGTAGCCTATGTGTTCTTCCGGACTATGTTCTAGACCTATACCAAATTTCATCGAGATCCGTTCGGCCGTTTAGGCTACAAACTCTAACAAACAAACATCCATGCAAACTTACACATTTGTAGTAAAAGATTTATTGTCGTTTAAACAGAAGAACGACTTTCGTAGACGTTCCCGTAGATGGTATACGACAATACCACCACCAGCTCACTATATGTCCCCACCGAGAGGCTCGGAGCCTACACTAAGTTAGGGTGATTAGGCCAAAATCAACCACGCTGGCCCATTGCGGGTTGGTTGACTTCAAACATATCTTTGAATTTCTTCGCCGATATGTGCAGGTTGCATCACGATGTTTTCCTTCACCGTAAGAACGTCGGGTAAATTATGTACATATGAAAATTCGAAAAATCTAAAATCACATTGGTACATGGCGGGATTCGAACCCAAGACCTGTAGATTACAAGTCAAGTGCTTAAACCACTAAGCCACCGACGCTCTCAATATGTAACTACGACAACACGTAACACAATAATCCCTTTTGTAGACAATTGGAGATGGTCGTCTACGCTACGAAATAGATAACCTAATCTATACTTATTGTCATTTTATGAAACTATTAAACTTATCCAATTTACGGCTCAGTTTGTTTTTTCTCGATGATGTCCATAAAACCTCTTACACGTTGCTTTCAAATTTTTTATTGTTGTTTTGTCGCGCTTTTATGGCTATTCGCATAAAGAATACTAAGTTTATGTATAAAGCTTATGTTTTAAAAGCTGTGTACACTTTTCCGTACATAAACTGTATCCTAATATCAATGATAACCTCAATTTTTTTGGATATTACATGTTACGCTAAACTATTAAAATTAGCGATCAAATAATTTATTGGTGCTTTCAATTAATTTCTAAGTTATATCTTAACAAGAATCCTTCTGATTGTTCCTGACAGCTTTTCTTTGGAGAGTAAGGTATCTTATATCTTGGGTAAGTTACCGTGAACTTATACAATATTTTCTTTAGTACATTTATGTAATACAGGTACAGGTAGTATTAAAAATCGAAATTACATTATGCTAAATGCAGTACCTTGGGGAAAGGTTAGGCGACCGCCCAGGGCGGAGGACTTAAAAGGGCGGGCGCCACGTCTTATCTATGCGTTTGCATTGCTGTTAGGGGAGACTGTAGAAATCTCGACCAGAGCGTTGGTAATGGTAAAACTGAACCTGGATTAACGTATCAATATCTGTCTATACTAATATTATAAAGAGGAAAGATTTGTGTTTTTGTATGTATTGAAATAACTCAAAAACTACTGGGCAGATTTCTAAAATTCCTACACCATTAAAAAGCTACGTTATCAGTGAGTAATATAGATTATGTCCTGTACTATATTTTTTTATTCCACGCGGGTGAAGTCGTGTGCAACAGCTAGTGTTTTATAATCACCAAGAAAGCTCCGTAACTTTTAAACTGCTTCATTTGGACGACAATAAAAGAATTTCGGTCGTTTACGACTTTTCTGTTTTTTATTGTTTCGTTAACACTTTAAACGTACTTAACGAAGGTTAAAGACTGCGATCATTAAAATGGAAACAAAGAAGCAATAACGGTCTTAAAAGGGACAGGCAGAGATAACAAGGAGTTTGTTTATGGGACATCTTTGGTAAAAAATTAAAATTTTACTAAAGATACATTTTGAGAACGTTTTACCAAGTAATTTATATTAAAAATACCTTTTATATAATATATTGTTGATCAACGCAATAAGGCTATAAGGCTTTGGGTTTTTAATCTGTTCTGATTAATGTTTATCACGTGGATTAATATTTCCGTATATCCTTGTATTATGTCACGGATAATTCAATAAAGGTTCGTTTTGTAGTTAACAGATGGCGCTATCAATTTCTCAAATGCCCGCAATGGATTGACAATTTTTATTTAAAAAAATAAAATGATATGGTGATTGTGATTGGTGATCCAATTACAACTAGACTTTGCAAAAGCTACGTGTATACAATTTGAGGGGGGGGGCGTAAAGGTTGTACTGTTTCGTGAACTGGCATGTGTAATTCCAGCCCTTATATTTGTATTTTCTTAAATTGTTGTATTTAAAATACAGATAGAAATAAATGTTTTAAAAGTTAAAAGCTTTATAAATGAGAATTGATTGTCATTTCGTGTGAAATAATTAGTGGTAATCAGTCGACGGATGATGTTTTTAAACGAATGTTTCCATTCTGTAAATCTCCGTTAATTCGTCCGCCGACGTTGACCCACAGTTGCTTGTTTGCGGTAATTACATCGCGTAATAAGTTTAACGTTTAATTATTTGTAATTCAATTTAAAATACATAAAACTTTGATTACCGCCATCTAGTGCACAGACTACTTAATTAAATAATTTAAATTATTATCTATTTATTTTTATTGAAAAACGCAGTTATAAAAATGTATTTGTATATTATGTACACTTATATTCTACAGATTTACAGAAAATGTATAATCCCAAAGTAAAACTTTAACACAAAAAATACGCGTCCTATTAATGCCTATGAACTACCGATAGATGTCACTATTGTAAGATAATGGGGTATTTATTGTCCATTAACCGTGGGGTCGATTCGACCGTCTTATGATTTAGCGACTTCAATAAACTGTCTAATCTTATATGAAAATTAAACAGAAAAAAATAAGGTATTTTTTATTCTACATTCTTAAAACAGTTAAGCACATAATGTGAATTGAGCTTTTAAGATGGCGGCGTCCTAATCGTTATTGTCACATTAAGCTATTTGAACCAATTTAGAGCATTAAAACTTTTACGAGCTAGCTGAATTGTAAACGTTAACATTTAATTTCATTATTAACAAATACTCTAGCCAACATTATAGTGAAGGAAAACATAGAGAATAACCTGCACATATCTATGCAATTCTAGAAAGTAAAATCAAGCATACCGTAGTGAACCAGCGTGATTGACCAAGGCCTAGTCGACGACAACCTGAATGACCTTAAAATGTACTTGAAGAAACAATTCAAAGATGTAACGTGCTGTTAAAATTTCAAAAAGCTATGTAATATCGAGAGAAATATTAATGAATATCGTTCGACAAGTTAGATACGTCTCGATTCGTTTCATATATTATTTACAAGCAAATGAAATGTTACGCATAAAACTAAAAGCGATTCAATATATGTAACAAGATAATGGAAGTTGAAGCGGGCAATATAAAGGTGGCGTCACAATTGTAGCGACAGGATTTTATTTATTTTTATTTAATATATTATTATTATTATTATACAATAAAGTAATTGCTATCGTCCGTCCTCCTCTTTCTTTCTATAAGATACATATCACGTACTCTTTCTTGTGACGAAAAGCAGATAAATATGAAGCACAAAAATTGAACTTAAATTACTTTTATTACTATTTAATAAAACTTAAGTGTGCTTGTGGTATGTTGCAGAGTTTGGTATAATTAAATTCCCGTATTTTCTTAATATAGATATTGATAATATTAGTATTTAATAAGGATTAAAATATTGCTTATGTAAACCGCCCGCTGTCAGTGGGGCCACACACTATTACGTATTTGTGCGAGCGCGTAGAGGGAATGAAATGGAAAAGTGGCCTACAGGAGGATTCCGAAGAAATACGACGCAGCGGTAGTTAAGGCTTGTACATAATGTATACAGCACCACCGTCTCACTACACAAGCCTGCGAATTACTTACTGAATGGCGACGAAGCGTTTCAGAATATCGCTTTTGTTTAAATATATATTCTCCTTATATACAAGTTACTGCTTACCAGATACTGGCTGGCGGGACGACATGGAGCTGGTTACGCGAGCAAAAGTGATTGACTGACAGGCGACGTTGGCGACCTCTCGTATTGAAGACCAATACCTACTTTGGGCCGATGCGCCAGCGCAGTGAGTATATACGAGTTAATATATAACTCAATGACTTTAGTTAATTTACTAAAATTGCTAATTAATTATAATAGGAGTTTATTTTAATATTTGTATTGTACAATAAAAGAAGTACCATCAAGTAGAGCTGTTGCCATTTTATTTATTCTTTTCTAGTAAGGGAAAGATGGAAAGCGGAGAGGAATTTGGCGGGATATGTGGGAAAGGAAAGTATCCTTTTTAGTATATTCTCTATCGTTTAAAGGTAGATAACGCATTTGCAGTCTTCTATTACCAATATCTTTAATTACAATCACTGACTTATTTTAGTGAAATCTGTATAAAATATACATAACTAAATATGTTATGTACATGATTTGAATCTAGCAATATTCTTATCTTGGGATTCCTATTTGTAGGCACTCAAACATTTTATTTGTCGCGTCTCAAAACATCTTGAATGTTTTCCGATAATGGAAAAAAACTTTATCTGATAGAACAATTCGATAAGTATTACTCAAACTAAAGTTATGTTTAAAGCTATGAGACATGTTAAATGAATTTTATATTCCCTCAATATTTACGTCGTATGTAACAGTTATTGAGGTGCAACAAAAAATGGCGTTTTTGCAGTTAGCTTTTTACTATAAACAAATGTTTCTAGAAAAATGCAATGTTTCATTCGTCGCAATGGAAAAATCCATTCGGAATATGTTCCAAATATAATATATCCACACATACGGTCGGGATAAAGGTTCATAAACATAAGGGACCGTCGCCCTGCCTCTTACAGTTAATAGTCCGCATACGTCCCCGATCTCTGTCCCGCCAACTTATTGGCAGCTTATGAAACCCTGGTACTATAACGATATAACCTTACTAGATTAATATCAGAACTAAATAGGATTCTAAAAATAAATCATTGATTTTAATTCATTTTTTTACCTGCCTTGAGGCCTGTCCCAATACTGGCTGATAGAGGCTCAGATTAACAATGACGTCACTGTCAGATAGGGTAACAAAATAAGACATTTCCATCATATACTTAACACATTGGATTGTGATATCTGACAATTTAGTATTTGGTGGGACAGGCCCTTAGAGTTATTAATTGGACACCCTTACTTAGTATTATATAACTACTTAAGACAGGAATACATACTAGTAGCCGACAAGCAAGTGCTAATTACAGGTATATGTTAATTGGCATAGATTTGTGCAATCAGTGATTGATCTTGATGACATTTTTTTGGTCTCCAGTGCCATAGCTGGCATGCTAACTACTATTCAGTGGAATAAAAATTCACCTGTCGCAGAATTAAGCAGTTTCAAATATTGCGACACGAGATAACTAAGTAAAAATTAACCTTGATATTTGTATTACGTTTTAAGTATGTCTAGAATATTGTACAATATTTTATCTCCGACTGCGAGCTTCGCAGCCTCGTTACTTTTATGAGATAACACTCGAGACGAGTATTTGTTTGCGCTCACTTCTCTTATGAAGGCATAAGGGGCTTTGATAAATTGTTACGTCAAGCGTTTTTATCATTACAGATACAATAAAATTCTTAACAGTACGTACTAAAAAATGTAAAAAAAACCCTAATTGTATTAATCTATGTTTGTACTTCGAACAGACTTTTTAGCGTGAATCCGTCCTTTAATGGTTCAATAGCGAGGCCTAAATAAGTGCTGTACACGGGCTGGATGACATCTTCATTGTTTTGTGCCAACTGAGATGCGAGGTACAGTTGTGGACCCATCTCCCCGCGCGGCTCGCCGATCTCTACTAAGTCTTCAATTTCGTCGTTAGTTGGCTTTGCTGCCTAAAATAAAAATTGTGTGATTGTTGCTTTTGTAACCATTTATAAAGTTACCTTTAGCTTAGCTCACTTAACTAGTCACAATATTACCTCACTCCCCCAGTTCATCTCCACACCGAAGACTGGTTTCTCATTGTACGCCTGATGCAGTGTCTGCAGCTCAGCGAGCAATGGACGCAGGCGAGACGGCTCCGTGCGAAAACCGAGCACGTAGCCGCCAGACCACGCGTGGACCACCACTACTAAAGCCTCCCCGAACTTGGAGTTGCGGATCGATATCTAAGAAAAAAAAAACTGTTAAACGAAACAAATATGTTCAAACATACCGATTGTATAACTCATCAATTTAATTAAACAAAAAATAACTTAAGAACAGCGCCCTCTTTTGGACGACGCTTGTAGTTTAATCTTTAAAATAGCCAGTAGGTATTAAATATGTTGAATACATTGATATGATAACTGTGATCTCACAAGGAAAAGGTTGATTATACTAAATACTGAAGTTCTAAAATCAATGTAACCTTACTCTTTCAATAGTGATGTAGGGCATGGTGATATTAAATGCATCGTTCAAGTCCGCGCACCACACGACGCGCACGTTACTGGCTCGCAGGCTGCCCAGATTGCCGGACTCACTCGACAGGTTCCACACACCGTGCTCGTGGATACATATCTGAGTAAACCACACAATAAATATAAGAAAAACCGATGATTATAGTGTTACTTAGTGCATCTTACCTTTTCAAGAGGTAACATCTTCAACTGTTTGTTCTGTATAATGGAACTCCTGAGTTTCAAATCACGATATAATTTTGAACCTGCGTAAGCTCTGGAAAATCAGTCAATAAAACGATTGACGTGAGAATCAGATACAAACATAGAAACTGTTTTCTTTATACATATAGATAAATGATCAATGATTGTCGAATTCACTCTTTTCAAGTACAAAAGGTAACTGTGACAAATATTGGCAACTTAACCTGAAAAGGCTTGTACAAAAACTGTTTGTGTACCAAATCACAGTTGTTACTTACTTATGTACTCCAACAACTGAGGTGTAATGCCTGACGCAGTTGGGCGAAAGGTTGGTGAAGATGAATTCGTACTTATTATTGTTGTAATTGGCAAATAGATGGAGTGCTTGCGTGGTGCCTCGAAGACCGGAGTTCACAGTTCTTGTACTTGTTGATATGATGCTGTTTAATCCTATTGCTGGAAAATATTAACGAGATTTAACATCGGTCAACGGCAATTATTAGGGAAAGTAAGTTGCTCGTATTTTTTAGCAGGCGCCATTTTTTATCCTTTTCTGTTTATATTTCTCACTTATTTAGTACTAAAAGCTTAATAAAAACATTATAAGTGTTGTATTTGCTATTGGTTACTAATAATCCAATGGGTAAAACCTAATATTTAATCCTTAAAACTTACATAGATTTATCCTGGGTGAGCTCATAGAATGCCAGATGATCCTTAAATTTGTAACAACCATACGGCCTTTAGTCCCGCTATTGCCTTTGGTATCCTCTATTGGTTCTATTCTGTCAAAAATCTTCTCTCCAGGCCGCAGCCTCAAATACCTTGAAAATAAAAAAGAAAACCTCTTTTGTTTAATCAAAGTTGATACTGGCTGATTCCATATTTTTCTCAAAAAAAGTAAAACTATATGGACATTTAAAACTGGCAACATGTTTTAACAATAACTGTGTGTAATTCGTTGTTGAGAAAACAACAAAAATCAATTGATATAAGAGATCTTACGAAAATGGTAGATCGAAGAGCACTTCCCGATCCTGCCAAACAATAGATGTTTGCTTTTTTGGCATGTTTCAGATGTAAAAAAGTCTGTTATAAAGACCGTATTTTACACACGCTGGGCGATTTCGTTATGTTTAGTTGGAGGTTACCATGGTAACGCTTAATATTACGTCAGCGATGCAAGTTAGTAGCTCATAAGGTACTACACCACAGAAATTCCCTTCCCTGAATATGGCAGAGGAGAGAACGCATAGGAAGGAGAAATGTTTTCCGTGTCTTGGATTCAATATAAAAAACGTATCTGAGATTGCGGATGTAAATGGGTAGCGATTACTTCTCTATTTCCGCGAATTCAAGGGACCGTATGCTCCTTTGCTACCTGAAGGTATAAAAAATTGTTTTTTTTTTTTAATTTTACGTCTGTCGAAATATTTCATTTCACCGTACGAAATCGTAGTTTTACTAAATAAATGAAAATCATTAGAAACTTCTAACGTTCTAACATAAACCACAATACGCTTGCATCGAAGAAACTCAACAAAGACTAGAAATTATTACATCATTTATAAATTCTACAGAAAACCAGGAAATTTCAACACTAAATCATCCCAGGCATCCGTTCCCTCAGATTGTTTGAGATAATTTATTTTGTTCATTACAAGAGGCGAGGGTACACAAAAAAAATGTATTTATAAAACCGCTGAAAACTTTGAACAAGTACATTACGTATCAAAATATAAAAATGCAATCATTTACTATTATAAATATGGTTTGTATGGATGGATGGATGTTAGAAGGTATCTCCAATGTCCCAACTCGTTAAATTCTAAGAAACTTAGTAACCATCAATAGCGAAAAAGATCGTAATTTCCAATTTTCAAGATGAGTGCGTTGAAATATTTGGGAATTATACTATTATTTGAATTGAATGTTACTTGTCTTGTAAATATATCTAATGTTGCCACAATAATTGTTTTATAACCACAGAACATAACTACCCTTTGACTCTGTCTGAAAACAATTTCGAACACAAATACAAGAACAAAAGAAAATTAAACATCAAGTAAGATCTTGAAATGGCAACCGACTCATTACAAATGCTGAAATAAAAAACGTTATCAGATTATTTTAAAACACCCCATTAATTATATCTCCGAAAAGCTGAAATATTGGCCACCCTATTATCATTGTTTTCTTGCCAGTTTCTTCCAAATTAAAATAAATAAACTTCTTAATTTGTGACAAAAGGACTCCAATACTTTCGTATCACACAATCTGACACGTACAAAGACACTTAAATTATTTTTAATGGGATGTTTTGAATAAACGAACACTTCAAATGTTATCGAAGAAACAACACGTACTCTTTTAATTCGCTCTGACATCTTTGCAATTATAAATCTTCAGGCGCTTTAGAGAATACAGACATCTTTGACTCTATGCGTTTACCAAACTATAATAAGTTGTAGACGATTAGCTCTGGCAGGCAATAAACTAAATTAATGTGCGCACTGTTAGTCTAGTATGACCTACTTGGCACCGCGGTTAAATAATTATTTGTTATAGCCAACTATTTAACGTCCTACTATAGTTTATTACCTACAGCCAACAACATCCGTAATTTACTTGGCATTTTTGAACAAAATAAGTAGACAATACATACTAGTAGTACCTCATTATGAGATATCGTCCTTAAAAATTCGTAGAAGTCAAAATATACACAATTATTCACATGAATATAATGTAACCCGAATTATTTTTTACAGGTAAAAAAGTATTCAAACTTTATTTTGATTAAAATCCTTATCTTAATGGTATTGGTTACAAAAGTACTTTGTCCCTTCTGATTTAAAGATAGTTCACGTTTATACTATAAAATCTGAAGACTTACATCGAAACTTATTATAAACGGTTTATTTTAAATTAGCTTGTATTTCGGGTACCTCAGGAACAGTGAAATATCTAAACTAATCTAATTGTATTGGACTCCCAAGATTTGTAAAAGCTTTGATATTAAGAAAAACTATTATCTTCCGTTTTGTTTGCTTTTTAACTATTTTAATGTATTCTGTATTCTTAAAAGCTATTTGTTAATCTGTTCCATTTATCTTTATTTAAAACAACAATATTGTTAGGAAATTATAAGGAAACGAAGGGAATAGTAGGGGGAAGTAGCTCGGGCGCTCAGTCGCAGTCTCGGCGCTCAGTCGCCATCGCCAACAAGCTCAGTATTTTTCTAGTCGTCACCACGGAAAGTTCGATATCTTTGCGTTGTCGCATTGGAGTTCAATTGTGTGATTTAAAGTAATTTACAAGCATTGTTAATATGTCTGTCCGTCTATTTTAAAGGAAGTCATTTGTGTCGAAATATCTAACAGTTTACATACAAACATTTATTGCAACTATTTGCATTACTAATTAAACTTTTACAGAATTGTCGCCTCTATCCTGAAAATCATAACGAAATAATCTTTGGAAATCAAAGCGTAAAATTCCATCGAAATGTCACCGACGTTAAAAGTCCCAGTATTTTCAATAAGACCTGACAACAAGTGTACAAAGTTTAACTTGTTAAATGTCGGCGGCAATTGCTTTACGCCTTTTCGCGCTACAAAATGTTAATGTCAAAATTGATATTGACATTAAAAAGCTCATACAAATGTCAAACTTTAAAACCGTGTTAAAACTATAGCCGCTTGTTTTTTTGTTTACAACTTAATGAAATAACCTGACTGTTTAGGAAATAAGTAAAATAATACCGGGCTTTACAAATCAGGGTACAGCATGTCATTACGATATCATATGAACATTCCACAAAAGTTATCTTTATTGCTACCAAACAAAACTGGTCAAGCAAATATAATAATAACGCGAGTAAAAAGATAATAGCTCATGTGCAAATGTCAAATACCATTTCCTACAAACTATTTATCTCGGAACTTATAATAATATATCTTGCAGCAGCAGGAATCAGCGTTTGGGGTATTTACGTAATATTACGCAACTGTGTATTTCACTATTAAAATTCATGAGGCAATTTATTTGACACAAAATTATATTTGTTATCTGTGAATTTCTAAACTGATGCTCACTTACTCTTTGGATATATCAATGTCAATTGTCAAATACTTTTGACAGTGTTATTTTATTTACTCTTTAGTTGTTATTGTTTACAAAATAATCTTACCCACTAATTTGTTAAAATACCTTAGTCTTAACTGTTCTTGATGATTTACTCGTTTTTGGTAATTGGTAAGCGAAGGCTTGCTGGTCAAGAATTGCGATATTTTTGGTATGTTAAGTTTAATGCATATAGACTAGACCTTAGTGATGTAATTAAATTAAGTTTTATAGTGTAGATTGAATAATTTAAACTACTATATGCTGTTTAGTAACTTTTGTGCTAAACTCGAACGTAACTTATATATAAAATAGCAGTAGCGTAGTAAATAGTTTTAATTCAGCCTTCAATAAGTCGTGATGGAGCAAACGAACAAGTCAAAACCTGTTTACTTCTTGATTTATCATCGTTCTATCTTTTTCCCACTTTGTTACTACTATTAACTTATTATTAACTAATAATAAATTGTTTTATTGTAACTTGTAAAAAATTGTCCACGAAAACACCTAAAATGATAACTAATGAGCTATTTATAATTTCAGATACAAAAAGAATGAATAAAGAAAATAGAACTGCAGCTGGTCTGGTAAGTCTTTTAGTAACTAAGCCAAATTAAGTTTATAAAATATCATAAGAAATGGGAGAAATGTTTCAAAATGCAAACTACTAAAATATAATAAGACTTGTAAATACAACAGTAAAAAAAATGTAACTCCTGAGTAACATAAACTACTTGGTAACATTATCACTATTGAATTTTGTTAAGCTTTGAATATAAATCTTAATATAGTTTGTTACTATAACTTTAATTAAACCAAGCCTATATCACATGGATGTTGTAATCTATGTGATATAGACTTGGTCTAAAAAGGTCAGATATCTATAATAAGGTCTTATTTGATGTAGTTTGTATATCTATAAGAAATATAAGTTCCTATTTTACATCATAAGGTGGCAAATGAGCACGCGGCCACCCAAATCCTTTAAAATGGCGAAGGAGAGGCACATAAAGAGGATATTTCCCCTTCTTATGCGTCTCCTGGAACACCAAATCCATGTTCCATTCCCATCCTTCTCTATTAAGAAAAAGGGTGGGAAGGAGAAGTGACTAAAGTTGGGCCTCCGGCACCACACTCATCAGACGAAACGCGGAATTGCTTCCACTTCACGCCTGTCTTCCGTGTGGTTGTGGTATTACACCGGGCGAACCGACCCATTCGTGTGAAGATGTTATAGTCGGGCTCTACCACTATTTGTTGCCAGGGAAGATGTGTGTCAACTGCATATTGTTTGCAGTAGGGTAGGGGTGTCAACTGCAATGATATATTATAGTTTTTAATAAAACGATTTTAATCTTGTAATTACAGCGGCGTTCAGCAGTAGCGGAAAGATTGAAATTGAGAGAAGAGTGGTCAGCCCTGAAAGGGACTGACAAAGAATCAAATACAAAGAAAAATACTAATATATTGAAGAAGAAACAAGAAAATATCAAAGCAGCAAAGCATACATATGTGACTACAGCTTGTGATAATCTTGGAGCTGGGACTCGGAGAGTAAGTGATAAGTTGTGTAATAAAAATTACATTTACTTAACTAGACTTAGGGCCTGTCCCACAAAATAAATTGTCTGATAACAATCCAACATGTAAAATATGTGAAGGAAATATCGGGTTTTGTTCCCTTATCTGACAGTAACATTTTTAAGCCTTTATCAGCCAGTGGTGGGACAGGCCCTTATCTATTCTCTATACTATTATGATAGAAGCGTAAACACACACTTCTTTGTTGCCTAAGATGTCAGCAATTACACCATATTTGTGAATAATTATTTTTTCAATAAAAAGCCCTATACTTGCGTCACGCTTTAGGCTATATATTTTGACGCCATTAAACTAGGGAGGTAAATATTTTGAAGAGAAATCCTAATGTGAGAAAGAGACCATAAGTTGCTACCAACATTAAGAAAGCAAGGTTGTCATGTCACGTCATTTTGACATTTGCTATTGATAATTTGACGAATGTAAACAATTAAATAAAATTTTCATAGTTTCATGCAGATGAAGCCGCATGGGAACAGCTAGTGTTACATAATATTTAATTACCTATTTAATGCTAACCTTTCGATTAAATTTGTACCAAACAGTTTTTTATTTATCTACATTTTCTTTATTTTGTTTTCAAATTATCACCTTTAGTGCCATAGCCCATAATGAAATTTATTAAATACTAACTTTAGTGCAAAATTTAAACAAATCTGATATAAATGCAGCCTATATTTTACACTGCACCCTGCCAGGGTAAATTCCGTGACTTTGTCTGGGCTTAATTAAAAACATAATTAAGAGCCTGTGTACTTTCTGCTTATCTTCTACATCTATGCTTTTGACAATCTGAAGATGCATAATAACATGTATTTAAACATTCGCATTTGTTAAGTAAAATTAGGAGTATTGCGGCTGTAACTATTATCATAATTTTACAGTGAAATCTCTTTTTGTAACGCAGCAAATCATATGAGTAATTTTTTACCAGCTAACACGTGGTAACGCAAGCAGCAGTAGCGAGGTTCTGCGCGGTATTGTGGCGTTAGTAGAAGTTGGATCAAGCAGCCGTGCACTAGCGCTAAGGGCGGCACTTAGCGCGCTCGGTGCTACCGTGGTGCCAGCCTGGACACACCTCGTCACACACTTAGTGTGGTCACATGGTAAGACTACTTGTTGATCTTCCATTACAGAGATTCTTATCTCTTCCACCCATGATTTTCTCCGCATGAAATTAAAAAAAATGGCCTATGTGTTTTTTTCAGGCTATGTTCTCCATCTATGTCAAATTTCATTAAGATCCGTCTAGCAGTTTAGGCTACAGTCTAATAAACATCCATCCATGTAAACTTTTGCATTTATAATGTTAGTAAGATAGTGAAATACTATCTTAACAATCATGGCCTTTTAACTGCAGAACTTAGGAATTATTATTTATGGACAGGATGAGGGAATATCTTTGTTTGTGTCCTCTTCTCTGTCAAATCCTTCTTTCTTATAAGAAACTAGCTGTTGCTCGCGACTTGGCCTGCATGAAATCAAAAATATAGCCTATGCACTCAGTAATAAAGTACCTTTTTAATGATGCAATAGTTTTTGTAATCGGTTAAGTGGTTTTTGAGTTATTTCAATACATACAAAAATAAAAATCTTTCCTCTTTATAAAATTAATATAGAAGAGAAGGGAAAATTGAATATTGCCAGATACGTCATTTTCAATTGTCAATTTTTATTGTGTATTGTACCACTGGGTACGCTACTTACGAACGAAATTACGGCATCCCCTTTTTACCTTTTCTGGGGGAGCTGGGTTAACTGGGATTTTGTAACCCTGGTGTAGACGGTTGCCCCAGTGTGCGTTCGCGAGCGCGTGCGCTGGCGTGCCGCGTGGTGTCGCCGCTGTGGGTGGAGGCGTGCGCCGCGAGCGCCCGCCGCCTGCCGGAGGACACATTCCCCGCGCCCTCGCGACCCTCAGACCTACCCTCGCCACGGACCTTGAGGATCATGCTTGTATGATATTACGGACCAAATTTACTCCCTTATCATTCCTGTCCCTTTTTTTTTATAAGATGGCAAACTAGTAAGCGGCGACCTGAATCTCTCAAAATTATGAAGCGAGCGACGCCCATAGACATCCGTAATAGCGGATGCGTTGCCTAGCCATAATCAATGGAGGAGGAGACGCACATAAAGAGGATGTGCTATGCGATTGTTTAATTACAATCTGCAGTTCCTGGGTTCGATTCCCATGTGTTTTTAAATATTTATATGTACTTTTCTCACCTTTGTCTATAATTTTTGTGCGATTGTCGATTGTTTCGCATACAATTCAACTATTTAGTTGCACAACTAAAAATCGAGTAATGTGCACCATATAAGCTGATAGGAATCGGAGACTTAACAGTTGTGCGATAGTTTGTACAAAGGTGTGCGCGCACTTACGGTGAAGGAAAACGTCGTGATATCGCATTATTCCCAACCGTCACCCCGCTCTGTCCCCACGTGAGAATAAAAAGTTTCATCGGTCCCACCTGCGACGAGAGGACGGTTGGAACTTATTTTATTTCATATCGATTCCATCTGTAACCTTATTGATGATAGTGGAACTAAAAAGTGGGACGGATGAAACTTTTTATTTTCACGTGGGGACAGAGCGGGGTGTCGGTTGGGAATAATTCGCACATATCTGAAATTGATAGAAGTAGAATTCAACACACATTTGGTTAGCATTTACTATTGTCTAATCACTAAGGATAGTCTAATGAAATTCTTCACTATATTACCTGAAGTATATCTGTCTCTTTTATTCTGCAGAAAAAAGCTGAAATGGAGAATATAAGTTTGGCAGCGTTGCTCTCAGATAGTACGGAAGATGACTCTAAGAAGCTGACGCTGCGGTTGTCAAGCGATTCTGACACGTCAAACACGTCAGTCGACACGTCACATGACGAGCGTGACACGTCACGTGACAACACTGGTATGTGACAATTAAATTAGAACCAATGTTTTTTTTAATATTACAAGGTGGTAAAACGGCGAAGCGACCGTTGCCCAAATGTCCGCAATTGCAGATTGCCTACCCTTAATCGACGGAAATGCACATAAAATGGTATTTCCCCTTCCTATGCGTCTCCTCCACCGTCAAATCCACTTTCCCTTCCCATCCTTTCGATGTTAAAGCGGGCTCTAACACTGTTATTGTATGTTACAATAAAATTAGGACCAATATGATAAGAACAATATTTCATACAATAAACTTTGTATTAAGGATATTGATATATAAAAATTTTCTAATTTAGCTTTTGCCCGCGACTTCGGGCACGCGAAGTTATAAAAAAACTTACTAGCTTTTGTACTAATGTTTGCTTATACTCGGTTTATTTTTAAGGTTGTTAGTATACTTCAGACTATATTCTACATCTCTGTAAAAATTTCATCACAATCCGTTAAGCAAAATGGTGTCTTCATACCAAACTCTCATTTCACTTGTATAATCTCAAGTTACACTGGACATAATATCAACCAGTATGCACACCAATGTATGTTGAGCCTCCACAGATATGGAAGCGCGGGTGAACACGGCGCCGCGCCGGCCGCAGGCTGCCCGCACACCGCCGCAGCCGGTCAAGTCCAAAAGAAAGCTGTTCACACAGAAGGAGCCAGAATTAACAAAAACCAGTGGTATTGAAACAGGTAAATATTTATATGATATTTCTAAACGACTGAACTGATTTTGAGTTCAAATCTCAATTAACATAACTTTTTTTTCATTTTTAAGTCTTGTCTTGAATTGTTTTTCGAGTTTACTATAAAAGAATAAAATGTTACTTACACCTAATAATTAATTTAGTAACTGTTTTTAAAAATCTTCGTTTTATAATACAGACGATAGATGGCGCTATTCACAATTAGATCCTAACACTATTTAAGTATTTATTTCCTAAAAAGGTTTCGCAACTTGATCCGCGCGGAATAAAATAAAGAATAGCCTATGTTTTCTTCCAAATTTTCTACATCGATACCAAATTTCATTAAAAACCGTCCATTTTAACTTTCGCATTTATAATACATTTAAATTTAACGTTACAGTTATTTCAAATTTAAAAAAAATGTTTAATTGTACTGTTAATAGATGGCGCTGATCTAAATTTTAAAATCATTAATAATGCCGTCAATAGATGGCGCTATTTCAAATTTTTTAATTATTCCCTAACTTCAGATGTGGAGCGCACGTCTGCTAAGCCGCTGACGTATGAGCAGCGCCGGGAGTTGGCGCGCGCAAGCCGCTTAGCGCGCAAGTTACTGCGCACCACCACAGCGAACGCGCACGCGCACGCTACAGACACGCACACCTACAGAGTGGTATTTACTGTACTTTTTATACTAATACTAGCTATTATGACTTCGTCCCCGTGAAATTAAATAATAAAAATATAACCTATGTTACATAAAAAATACAAATCCGGCCTCACAGAGTTAAGATGTTAAAATTGACTCTACCAATTAAACTGAAACCTAATTTTAGCCCTCTTTTCCCACCCTTTTCGTACAAGAAAAAGATGGAAGAAGGAAATGGAAGTAGGTAGAGGAAAATTCCTAATAAAATCTAATCCTCTTTGTTGATGAAAGGAAGGCAACGCTATTGCAATAATTAGAAAATCCTAGTTAGATCCCAAATCTATTTAATTTTACTTACCAACATAAATATTATTTTTAAGTATTAATAATCAAAAGTATTCAAAATAAACAATTGATTTAATTTCAGGTATTAACAGGTATGTCCCGCGCAGAAAGACTCGAGGCTCACAACGCTATACGAAGTCTAAACGGTCGTATACAGAAAGAAGTTAATAAAACAACCACACATGTATTATTAGGTTCATGTAAACAGGATAATGTACAAAATTTTACACAAAATACGAGAGCTAAAGAAAAACGGGATATTATAAATTTTATCTACAGTCAAGTGGCGTCTAAAAAGAATATATCTGGGATCTCAGGAACTGGAGTTGGAGTTAACAATATGGCAAACGTTAAAAATATTGCGGATGTTAACAATATGGCCGACGTTAGCAATATGGCAAACGTTAACAATATTGCGGACGTTAGCAATATGGCAAACGTTAACAATATTGCGGACGTTAACAATATTGCGGACGTTAACATTATTGCGGACGTTAACAATATTGCGGACGTTGACATTATTGCGGACGTTAACAATATTGCGGACGTTAACAATATTGCGGACGTTGACATTATTGCGGACGTTAACAATATTGCGGACGTTAACAATATTGCGGACGTTAACAATATGGCAAACGTTAACAATGTTGCGGAAGTTAATTCGCCGCTAGTTGACTATATGGCAGAAGTTGACAAAATGCTGGAAGTTGACATGGCAACAAATGCAACACCAGTTGACAACGCAAACAAAATTGGTATTATTGGAGTTAGAAATGATAAATTAAGAACGGTCAACGCATTACTGGGCGCTGCCAGAGGTTGTAGAGTTCTGTTCGCCAAATGGGCGAAGGATTCATTTGAGGCCAAACGATGGTTACATCACTACGGTTATGAAGTGCCGCATTTGAGGAAAATAGCTATGGTAAGTGAAAATATTTTATTAAACTTATTTGGAACAATAAAAGCCTTTGCGGATTTTTGAATCTCTTTTTAACCAACATATCTTTAAGTATGAAAATGTAAGACTCAAAGTAACTTAAGCCGCTATACCACTTTTTACTTAACAGTAGGTAAAGTTAGAACTGACGTTTGTAAGCAATATTTAAACTATGAAATTGTACTGTTTTCAGTAACAGTAATTTGTACACACGATAGTGTTACGTTCGACTTAAGTATGACCGCAGTTGTGTAGCGAGCATTAGAGCCTAAGTATTACTTCCATTCTGTGTGAACTCTATATAACGACACTGAAGGGACTGTCCATTTTATGGCGTTATAGAGAGTTGTCGTAAAATCAGAATTAGAAAAAGAAAAGTTAATTTTATATTACTTCCAACCTGTGCGAACTCTATATAACAACACTGAAGGGACTGTCCATTTTATGGCGTTATAGAGAGTTGTCGAAAATCAGAATTAGAAAAAGAAAAGTTAATTTTATATTACTTCCAACCTGTGCGAACTCTATATAACAACACTGAAGGGATTGTCCATTTTATGGCGTTATAGAGAATTGTTAAAATCAGAGTTAGAAAAGAAAAAGTTTATTTTAATCTAGTGTTAGTTATCTAGTAGTAACACATATAAAAAATAATCTTGTTTGAACGCTATTGTGTAGTCTGTTATTTTCGTCTGACGTCTTTTGCTGCAACAGTAATTATTTCGTACTTTTTTACTTATTTTACTTATTTCTTGCAATATTGAGCCATCTTCGCGATAAAGGACAAAAGAGCTTAGTTTTTACTAAGCGCAGTTTTTACTAATTTGAGTGGATGTAATGCTGGTGAGTGTATTGTTATGGAAGACAAGTTAAACATACCAAAGCCAATTGATTTCGACGCTTTAGGGAGTTTGTCGTAAAATCGAGGGACGTTATGTGGAGTTTACACTGAATTTTATTTACACTTTGTGTACAAAATGCTAATTAATTTTGCATACTAACATAATACATAGATTAAAACAGTGTTTTTTTTTAGAAAGCGCGTATAGAAAGGCAGGCTTTAGGCAGGATGCGTTCCGAATACGCGTATGACGTATTTAACGGTATGCGGGTGCGCGTCGCGCCTGGCGCCGAACAAACACACGCGGTTGTACAACTTCTAACGCTATGTGGCGCTGCTGTGCAACATGGCGGCGTTCAAAATGGCGGGAACACACAAAATGGCGGACCGAATGTTCGAGATTACGATATAATTATAGGTAATGAAGAGAACCAAGTGAGCTCCAAATGGGTTTTCGATAGTATCGCCGCGGCCAGAATGAGGACCACGAGAAGATATATTAATAAAGTTGTTCCAGAAAGTTCTGAATCTTTAACTCAGTAATGTTCTGGAATTTTCTAAATATAACTCCATGACTTTCGTATTGTCCTTGTCATTCTCTTTGAATAAACAGAGACACGCTATGTACAGTCGGGGAAACTGACGGTGTTCCTAAAATCTACAATCGTTTGGACATTTTGCAACTTGACGCGGAACAAAAATTTAATACAGCATATAAGCTGTATTGTTCTTATTATTTATAAATAATATTTATTTGATATAGTAATAAGTTTCTTTTTTGTATAATCATTAATTACAGGATCAATATCGCATTGGCTCCTTAACTAGGAATAAAAATTAAAGGAATGAGAATTACTTGTCTTATCTGTACAAATGCGGTTTTTATACTGTGCTAGTTTTTTTATTGTCTCTGTTAACTACAGTAAAATCTCGATAACATAAAAACTTCTATAACTTCATAAAATAATATTCCCTTCCCTTCAGAGCCCAAAACCTCTATAACATAGACCCTTGATAACTTAAAACCTCTATAACTTAAAATATTTTGTGCGTTTCCCTTCGACTTTAACTTATCGATGTTCTACTGTAGTTGTTTGTAAGAGTTTATCTCGAGGCAATATTTCCTAAAGTGGAACACCGCAGATTTCCGCCACTGTACTGGAACTTTTACACTTATACTGAAGTTTGTGGAACATTTATTTTATACCACGGATTGTTTGTTATATGTTTTTGTTGTTTTCGTAGATATTTAACATGACTGATGAAATAAAATCAAACGAAATTATTTTGAATTTGTCTTTTATTTGAAAAACACTATTCCCTCAAAAATACAGTTTTTGGGTCTTTTTTATAAATTTCACAATTTCTACAAAATCTTATTTGCACTCATCATTCTCCTTATCCTACTCCTGTTGGCACAACAGGTTTTTGTCCTCCAAATAACTATACGTCATCTCAGTCATCACTCCCTTCTTGATCATGTCACCTTTCACACAATCCATCCGTCTCTTTCTATGTCTACCTCTACCGGATTACCACACACATAACTGTTTACACTGAAAATATGAAAGTACAAGCGAGATTTCGTCCATGTAAAAATGAAAAAAAAAAGTAAATAGACTATGTTGTGCTTCCAGTGTGTTCTACATCTGTGGAAAATTTCATCAATATCTCAAGCTTTTTTTAAGGTAATTATGTAATAAACATCCATCCATCCAAACTTTATCATTTGTAGCTGTTGCTCGTGACTTCGTCCGCGTGGAATTTAAAAAAATACAGCCTATACTCACCGATAATTTACCTTTATTACGGTGTAAGAATTTTTAAAATCGGCCCAGTAGTTTTTGAGTTATTTCAATACATACAAAAATACAAATCTTTCCTCTTTAGTATAGACTAGCTGTTCCCGTGCGGCTTCATCCGCATGAAATTGTGAAAATTTTATTTTATTGTTTACATTTGTCAAATTATCAATTACAACTGTCAAAATGACTACATGACAAACCTTGGTAATCTTGTTTCCTTGATGTTGGCAGCAATTTATGGTCTCTTTCCCACATTAGGGTTTTTATCCAATAAAGCGTGACGTGAGTTTAGGGCTTTTTATTAAAAAAGAATTATTCAAAAATATGCTGTAATTGCTGACATCTTAGGCAACAAAGAAATGTGTGTTTACGCTTTATCATAATAGTATAGAGCATAGATAATAGCCCATGTATTGAATTTGATATTTCTTTATTTATAAAGTCGTTAAATACAATGCCAAGGTGATGAAAGGCGTAAAAAAATTATTGACGTTGCCTCAAATTATGATTCATACACGTTTTTATTGTAACGTTATATAAATAATTCAAGCGCACATAAATAATTATGCAATACAATGATATTATCATAAACATTTGTGAACTACGAATACGGAACAATCGACGCGTTGCATTCTTACAAACTTGTGTCTGACTGTACAAAGTAGGGTTGTAATGGAGGCCATTTTAACGGATGCGGAGGCGAAGGGCTTCACCTTTGCAGAAGTGGAGGTTAAGGGAGGCGGAAGCGGAGGACAATAATAAAATATTAATTGCGATTTATTAAAGAAATAAAAACTAACTACGTTAATTCAAAATACAGATTGGTACACAATTTCAAGATACAGTTTATTGTGAAAATGTAATGTATAACAATTATAGTTAGTTGACATATCACGCCCGCGCGGTGATACCTAAGCGCCCCACTCGCGTTAAAGACGCAAATTAACCTTCGTTATAACTCCGCTTAAGAAATAACGGATGCGGAGTCATCATTTCTTGGGGAAGTTCCGAACTTGCGGATGCAGAAGCGCAGTTCTATTACAAACCTAGTACAAAGAGTTACAATAATGACGTGCACATATCTGAAACTAAGCAAATTTAAACTGTCCATGTTTTTACAATGTTCGTAAGATACGGGTATCTTACTGCGATTGGATTTTAGTTCTCGATATATCGACAGTTGCAAGCACCAAGTTCACGGGCTGATTAAGTTATCAGATGTGATTATTCAAACCCATTCTTGGTTAGAAACCCGTATCTTATAAACATTATGGAACATAGGTTTAATCTCGCTTTGATTCCTATGTGCTTATATACTACTCGATTTTTAGTTGTGCAAATAAACAGTAACAGTGGTAGTGCCCGCTTTAACATCTTAGCACGAATGGGCCGGCACGCCCGGTGTAATACCACGACCACACAGAAGACAGACGTGAAATGGAAACAATTCCGTGTTTCGTCTGATGAGTGTGGTGCCGGAGGCCTAATTTAAGTCCCTCTCTTTACCACCCTTTTCTTATAAAAAGAGGATGGGAAGAGGAAGTGGATTTGACAGTGGAGGAGATGCATAAGAAGGGGAAATATCCTCTTTATGTGCGTCTCCTCCTCCGTCTGATAAGGGTAGGCAACGCATCTGCAATTGCGGATGTCTATGGGCAGTGGTCCCTTCGCCATTTTGGCGACTTCAGGTGGCCGTTTGCTCGTTTGCCACCTTATGTTATAAAAAAAAAAGTTAAATTGGCTGCGAAAGAATCGACAATTTTTTTTTATATAACATGAGGTGGCAGACGAGCAAGCGACCACCTGAATCCGCCAAAATGGCTAAGCGACCGCTGCCCATAGACATCCGCAATTGCAGATGCGTTGTCTACCCTTATACGACGGAGGAGGAGACGCACATAAAGAGGATATTTCCCCTTCCTACGCATCTCCTCCATCGTCAAATCCTCTTCCCAACCTCTCCTTATAAGAAAAGAGTGGTAAAGAGAAAGAGACTTAAATTAGGCCTCCGGCACCACACTCATCAGACGAAACACGGAATTTGTCTTCTGTGTGGTCGTGGTCTTACACCGGGCGTGCCGGCCTATTCGTGCTTAGATATTAAAGCGGGCACTACCACTGTTACATTATATTGTTACATGTCATATTACACACAATCGGACAGCAGTTGTGTGATAGTTAAGTCAAAGGTGTGCGCCCGCTCCTCAGAAGCGACTCCTGTCCATAGACATCTATAACTACAAACAGGACTGGAGGGACATACGAAAAGATGTTATTCCCGCTCCATTCAAAAACCTTCCCTTATCTTTCCTTCTCATTCTTGCGAGACAGTTTCTTAAAAAAATTAAAACAGTAGCTTATAGATGAGGAAATAACACAGGATATCAGAGTTTTTATTCAAGAAAGACTGGGTTTTCCCCTTTTTTTACTTCCCAAAAGAACGAAGTACTCGAAGTAGAAGTTGATATTGACACCTGGGAGATAAGAGGAAGGGCAAATCCTTTTTCTGTTTATTGTCTACTTGGCAAATAGTGCGCATCTAAATATTACACGAAGAAAAATTTGATTTTACAAATTGAAAACAACGCCATCTAGTTGAGAATAATAGTAACAAATTTACGTGGAGAACTTTATAAACTGTTGAGTTATGAACTTACTAAAATTTTGTGCATATTCAAATGTAACTGAATCCAACTAGAATAAAAATGAATCCTTTTCTGTTATTGGTAATTTAAATTATTATTTTATTCCATGGCAACAAATTACTGCAATAAAACTAATTTCAATAAAATTGATCATCAAATAAATACTTTATCGGACCATAAAGTTTAATTATATTAAAACTGGGAACAGCATGCGCTTTAGCAATGTAGTAAATTTTCTATGTGACTACAGTTTAGACTGAGTTCTCATAATAAAATACTTTTTCTAATTTAAATCTTGTTTCCAGTGTTTTTAAATTCAACATTCATGACCTAAGTTTTCGGTTCACTTATGTCTCTGCATCATTAATTTATATGTAAATGTTTCGCCAGTGGGAACGGTTTAGTCCAAGTTGCATTACGAACTAAGTTATTTCTGTCAGTTAGGACAGTCATGTATACAGGAAAATGTAAAACGATGTTACTATACTATTATACTATATTATATTAGTATTATAAATGCGAAGGTTTGGATGGATGGATGTTTATTGAAGTTTGTAGACTAAACGGCTCAACAGATTTCGATAAAATTTGGCATAGACGTAGAGGATAATCTAGAACACTTAGGTAACTCACTTTTGTTTTTTTTTTTAAATTCTATGCGGACGCAGTAGCGGGCGAAAGCTAGTACTATTATTAAGAGGAAAGATTTGTATTTTTGTATGTATTGAAATAACTCAAAAACTAATGGGCCGATTTTAAACATTCTTTTACCGTTAGAAAGGTAACTTAGCTGTCAGTGACATAGGCGATATCTTTTTAATTACACGCGGACGAAGTCGCGAACAGCTAGTATTTATAAACAATAACATTCCCCATACATAAGGTGTATATGTATTGTTATTTACACGATGCGTGTACTGCGCAGTATTAAAGTGAAGGGTTGAATTCTACGACGCAGTTAAAAAGGGTTAGGTATTGCGTGTAAAGTTCGGCCCTAGCTTATTTATACACTAGCTTTTGCCCGCGTCTTCGTCCACGTGTGATATTTAATAATAAAAACATAGCCTATGTAACTCAATGATAACGTAGTTTTTTAAATCGACTCAGACTACTGAGTTAAAACCATTTAAAGCTTTTTTAATACATACAAAAAAACAAATCTTTTCTCTTTATGTTAGTATAGAAGTATAGATAACTACAACAAATTAAGAAATATGTTGGAAAATAAAAAAAAAACTTTTATTGGAAAGAATGACTTTATTTTAACGTAACAACTAAAAAAATACCACTAGTACAAGTTTTGTTAAAAGAATAATATTAAAATATAACACAAGTTGACGACATTCGAGAAATGATGACGAAATCTCGCTTTACTTGTGTGTCAAGGGCATGGTTCAGGTTTTAAACCGAACTCATTGGATATTGCAAAACATTGTAAACTTACAAATATCGAGTAACAATCTAGTTTAAAAAACAAAAAACATACATTGATTAACATTTATTTCTTTAAAATACATAAAACTACTAAATAATTGTGTTAAATATATTTTTTTTTAACAT